TTGTGGCGCGAAGATCATTGGCTTTGATCATCGATGACACAGAATAGTGCTCAGGCAGAGTATCGAAACTCTAGAATCTGACTCAAGAGTCAGATGGCGATGCCACTCAGCCAGCCTAGGCTTGGTACCAGTAACTGGATACCATTTCGTACCAAAAAAATTAGCAACACGAATAATTATTTTTGCTGGCAGGTCTATTAGCAATGGCAGATGAAATTATTTGATACATTAATTTGGAATCATGAAGAGGTAATGAAATATTTTCTTCTCGAGTTTGAAATCGACTAACACCACAACAATGAACACCACCGATAAGAAATGTTATTCTTGTTCTTTTCTTATGAGCAATTTCTTGAAAACGATAAAGACGTGCAAATAAAAATGGAACAGGAAATAAATCGATTAAATGCTTGACTTTTTGTAGATCATTGTCTAATTTATCAAAGATTATATTCCATGTTTCTTTATGTGTCACTGTTCGATGATTACGTTCACTAGGTCAATTAGCACCTAAAAGAGCTAAATTTGGACCACATCTAACAAGAAAATTATGACCCTGATAGCCAAATAATCCATCTTTTCGAGCTTTTTCTAGTGTAGTATGATGTTGAAAGAGAAGTTGCATTTTTTGTGCTATTTCCAAATAATCCCATTATAATTCGACTATCATGAAGTAATGGTAGATATGATCCAGCACCATCGAAAATATCATAATCATCCCACATCATTAAATTTGGAATTGATCCTAATGCTTTTTTTTTTCATTTCTGGTCGACATTTCCAATACTCAGCATAATTATTAAAATAATATTTTTCAACTTCGTATTTTGATTCATCTTGAAATTTTCACGTCCATTTTTGATCAAATTCCATATGAGACCAATTTTGAAGAAATCAAACATCATCAATAACAAAATCAATGTCATTTTGATCCCCACCCTAAAGTAAAATATGAAATAGATTTTCGTCATGAATAGAAAGCAGACGATTCCATACATTATTATAACTTAGACCTAAAAGCTATATCTTCTGAAACAATATCATAAAAACCATTGCATGAAAAGAATGCACCACGCCATTTTTGATTATATTGAGCAATATGAAACGAACCATACGTTGAATGATCACCCCAGTACATTCGCCAATTGATTTTTTCATCATCATACCCTTCACGTAATTCAATATTGAGATTTATTCAATAAACTGGCATATTAAATAGATTTTTATCATATAGTATCTCCCAATCGTAATCAATGTTGACTTTTGCAGTAAATTCGATTGCTGGTCGACCGTATGAAACATGTCGAAAGATTAAAACACTCCCGATCCATAGCATATTTTCCAAATCTGTTGTAATAAACTGTAAGTACGATCCCAATGTAGGTTCAGGTAGTCGTGGTGGACGATTTACTACATTTTCTGTAGTTGTTTGAAGTGGATTATTATATTTACCTGTACTATTATTATTCCATTCATTCAAATTTTCTTTTCTGATTACGTGAGTCATGTTGAACAATATCTATGATTGTTTTTGTAAAAGACTACCGATAGAAATGATCATGTCCACTATGATTGCTTGGCAAATCAAATGACATTTGAGTTTCACTTTACTATGAAATACGGTGTGAAGCTTTGAATTTTATTATTTGAGAAATCGATATGTCATAAAAAATGAATAATTGTTTCTATGATTGATTATAAAACGCATTTATCCAAAAGATATTTACGTTTTGCGGCAATCAAGATTTGTCTTGACTTCGTTGTACATCGGAAAAGTTACGTTTTCGATCAATCAGTTGATTAAAGTTAGAAACAAGCTGAAAAATAGCCATTTTGAAATTCAGTATTTGAGAGATGTTCAAGCAAAAAAACTTCATTATTTCAATATTTCTTCTGCATCTATTATGACTCCAAAAAATCTATGCTTATAGTCTTATTATTAAAATTAGGTAAAATTTAGCAACAAATGATCTTACTATTATGTATTTAACAATGGAAACCATACATGCAGAGTGATATAGCCATGAATTGTATGTTTTTTTTCCAAAAATTTAGTGGATTTTGGAAAGCGTCGATAGGTACTTGAGAATCGCTTAGTATGCATCTCATAGCTAAAAACCATGATTTCTTATACATTATTGCTGTTTTCTTCTACGATCATTTTTTTTCATTTATGGTTCAAATGCCAACATTTATGGCTACCTAACTTTACACAAATGCTTCTCACATTCTCTATATTAATAGTTTCTTTTATGACATGTATAGTTCTATGATAATTTATTGTCTATAATATTATATTCTTAGTAGTACTATTGTAAATGTAGAGTTTTGAAGTCACAAGCATAGAGGCAGTGCAAAAAAATGATGACTTTGCTCTAGTTAAACATTTTTTCTGATTCCTTAGCTATGATCAACTGGATTCATACGTACCTTATATCTAACCACTTGTTGAAAGAGAGTGCCAGCAGGCTTGTGCTGCTGTCTTTGTTTTAGTTAGTGCAGTGCGAGGTACAGTATTTTTGTATCCAGACACGAGTTTTAATTTTCGTTTTCTCTTTCTCGACGTACACATTGAAAGTTCGCCTTTTCTGTCGTATCGATCATCAGAATGGAAACTCAGAAAATACTCGTTCAAACGCAAGAAGAAAATGTTAAGGTCAAATTGATACCGTTAACTTTCAGACCAACAGTAGGAAATTTTATTTATTTACAAATAGTTTCGAGAAAAGAAAAAATTTGGTGAACTTTGTCAATATTCGAGACTATTAAAACGAAAAACAAAACAGTGTAAAAAGCTTGACATCCCTTTCCGTGGACAAAGGGTGTGGGTGTGGGTGTGGGTGTGGGTGTGGGTGTGGGTGTGGGTGTGAGTCTTCTTCGTATCGACACCGGCACCCACCCACACCCACACCAACGCCCACACCCCATCCACACCCACACCAACGCCCACACCCCATCCACACCCACACCAACGCCCACACCCCATCCACACCCACACCCACCCCTATATAATAAATTTCAAAGAAAATTTCTCATGAAAATTCGATTATAAAACTTACCAAGAAGACCAGAAATGAGTGCTATAGAATTAAATAAAACATCATTACGATGATCTAGTGCTAATGCTTTTATCGTTGGCACTGGAACACCACGGCTAAAAAGTATAAAATGGTTTTAAGCATTAAATAAGAGAATATATTAAGTTCAAAATAAATCATAGATAAGAAAAAAAACTAGACATCCTATTAGATGGTTAAATCAAATTGTTGTAGCACACGAATGTAATTGTGATTCATTACATTCATCAATTTAAGTTACCGATAGTTATACACATAACAATAACTATCATTGTTTGTTTAATATTCATATTAACTTCAGGTGTTTCATTTAACTATCTGAAAGAATACTAAATCAAATCTAAATGTACTAATACACTACAGTCCATAAAAAAAAGTAACAGCTATTCTGTGTTTCTATTTCTTTTATGTTTTTTCCTGTTTTTCGATGAAACAATCAAAACATTAAAGTTAATCCTCACCGGCAATACGTCACCAGCAACTGAAACACCGTCCGGCCAGTTTAAACCTATTGTTTCTTCGATGAAACGCCGAGCAAACTGTTGGCAATTTAGACTTGCACTCTATTTTTGATCATATAGTTCAGCCATGTGAGAATATAAAGAACTTGTCTAAAAATTAAAAAAATAACATTAGAAAGTGATGCAAATAATAAGCCTTACTAAAAAATAAAGTAATGATTGTTTATAAGCAGCTGCAATTTGACGATTAATTAAATGTTGATGAATACCATTTTGCATCTAAAAAAATATTGTGCTCAGAAAACTAAAAGATGGTTTATTTACCCATGGATTATTGAGATATTGTGGTAATGGCTCAACACCACCTATATACTTACTCTCTGCAAGATTTCCAACGTATGCCAATGTTAATCGTGATTTTTGTGACTCCCAATAATCACATTTGAAACTTGTAGAATGAGGAATTTGACCATCATTGAGGTTAGCTACGACATGACATAACACACCTTTAATGTTGGTGGCTGTTGATGTACCAGCTACATCAACAAGTACACTCGTGTGAGCATCTTTTGGACCTGTTGAATCATGCTTTATTAAAAAAACTTGATTTGTCAATTGTTGATCTTGAAGGTAAAGTGGAACAAAATGAGCCATCGAACTAAATTGTTCAAGTGCAGCTATTCCCATCAAACAAGATTATCTTTTGTGTGAATATTTTAATCCAAATCGAAAAGAAAGAGAATGTTAAAGGAGATGAAATAACTAATAGTTAAAAGAAATCGATTAGTTATGTTTCATACAAATAAATATTCGATCACTTAAAAATAAACATAGAAAAATAAATATGCTGTTGTCCAATCATTTCTTAGAATTAGAAAAAAATTATTTTAGCTTTAGTTATATTTTATGAGAAAATTTATTAAAAATTATTTTAAAAATTAATAAAAAAATTATTTTATCAAAATTTAATTTAATCGAAGAACGCTTATATTATTTCATTAGTTGATTTGAATGACTAACCAAAACAAAACTGAAACGATATATGATGATGATATGATATCATTGACATTGTTATTATTTCTTTTTCTTTTCTTTAAACTTCTTTTATTTCTATAATCATAAATATATATTAATTAAATAGATTGTTTTCAAACGATTCTATTTTGAAAAGTCGATATCATGGTTACCATCTTTTAACAGAATAAAAAATGAATTAATCTATTTAAAGATATATCTTGATAAAATTCTAATCGATCAATAAGCGATGAGTAGTTTTGTTCGATATGCAAACTTGATTCAAGCATAAGCAGCTTCCCATGTAGCCGATTTTCCGAAATAATGTACATTATAATGCATTATTTTGCCATAGAAAGTCAATGAATGCAATGGCATTATAATGCAACCTAAATAATGCATTATAATTCATTGATTTTGTAATGCATTGCAATGCATTGAGGTTTTAATACATTATAATACATTATTTAGATTGCATTATAATCTAATTGCATACATTATTGTTAAAAATGCATTTTAATGGATTCAGAACGTCATAATTTATACTCTTAACCCTTTACGCTTACCTTCGTACCCTTAACTATATTTCATTAACCCTATACCTTCAACCCTAAACCTATATGCCTATATCCTCATTTCTATACCTTTAATACTATATCCTGAACCCTATACCCTTATGGCTATATCCTTATTCCTATACCCTTAAAACTATATCCTTAACCCTATATCCTTATTTCTATACCCTTAACACTATATCGTTAACCCTATATCCTGAATCCTATACCCTTATGCCTATATCCTTAGAACTACATCCTTACTACTATACCCTTTCCTCTATATCCTTAACCCTATACCCTTATACTTATATCCTTATTCCTATAACCTTATGGCTATATCCTTAATACTGTACCCTTAATACTATGTCCTTAACCTTATATCATTATTCCTATACCATTATTCCTAGACCCTTAACCTTATACCCTTATGCCTATATCCTTAATACTATATCCTTAATACTATACCCTTACCCCTATATCCTTAACCCTATACCCTAATGCCTATATCCTTAATACTATATCCTTAATACTATACCCTTAATACTATTTCCTTAACCCTATGTCCTTAACCGAATACCTTTATTCCTATATGCTTAGCCGTATACCCTTATTCTGATACCCTTCACAATATACCTTTAGCTGTAGACAGCTATATTTTTATGATGGTTCTTCTTTGACTGTAGCCTAATATTGATTTCCTTTTGACCATGTGCTATGACTTTATGTAAGGAACAAAAAAAAAGCTTGTTAGCGCAGCCCCTTTGGGGCTAAAATGTGGAATTCACATATATTCTTCAGCTTCGTTATATTAATACAAAATACAGAAAGTGTAAAATCAAGAATTTTTTATTTTTCATTTTCTGACAGGCGCTCTATTTTTCGTTTTCATTGTTACTATTCACTCATTATTTTTTTTCGGATTTTTTTTTGCATTATTTTTTTGAATTTAATTCTATTATCATTGCAATCCTTTATTCAACCAGTAAATATGCCTCTTACACATATACATTTAACCTACAGCAAGTATCAATGAACTATTATATATCTCGATCAAATCACAACATTAGCACTGAGTGAGTTTTTTCAAATTAGTAACTTGATCAATCGATGATTTCTTATGATCGTTGATGTCTTAAATACATTTTTATGTGGAGAAAAATCCAAAACTGAACTTACAGGAATACTAGTATACGAATGCTATTAATTTCAACTTTTGCACAATACTCTGGCTTATGCCAGAGTAGTCAAAATTTCTTCTCATTTTTTACACTGATTTTTTTTCTACTATTGCATTAAAAAAAATGTCTACTTTTTTTCTGGAGTTGCTATGGTCTGTAATGGTAGCCTGTCTGTAAGGGGAGGGAGAGGGGGGGAGCCGCAAAAACTCAAAATTAAAACTTACACTCACTATTTTCTTCGAAAACATATGTGAGTTCCACAAAATTGTAATAGCGAGTCTGTCTAATGTTCTGGTTGCATGTAAATACTGTGACATTGCGGATCTCCATGGAGATCTATGGAGATCTCTAAGATCCCCGATTTCTCGGATCTGTGACACGATTCGAAATAAATATGCATTGACAATTTTCAATTATTTTTTTTATAGAAAATAAAAATTCTTCTTAAATATGTTATCCATATCTATATCGATTTATTTGATTTGATTTAAATATTATTCAATGTCTAATCGAATCACTGAAAATAGTGATCAACATATTACGGCTCGTCAGTTAGAAAATACTGTTCGTTTAGAACAAGGTATAAGAAAAGTTGTTTTTCTAAAATGATTTATTTCATTGTTTTTTTTTGTTATAATAATATTTAGCTCATGCAAAATTAATTTTTTCAAAATAAGTTAAAATTCTTGATGGAATCGTTGCTGTTTTATTATTGAAAGCAAGTCTTAATGGTTGTAGAAAATTATTAGATAAAATGCATGCTCTTCATACAACATTTGCATAACAACGAGAACAAGAACATAAAGGACATGGTATAAAGAATTTAATTATTATAGAAATGTGATAATAGATTTTCATGAAGTTACATTCTCACTTTTTATCTCTACATAACACTTGATCACGACGATTGACTGAGTTGTTTAGCATACGCTCCAAAAAATAATATCACTTACATTTTTATATCATCGGTCATAAAAGATTAGTTTATGTCCTTAAAAGGTTCAATCATTAAAAAGTATTGAGCTAGGATTACTAAGATCGAGTGATTTATTCTTGTAGTTTGTTAATCATATAAAAGACATTAACTATATGAAAATTCCTTCTGATTAGAATATTTCCAATCAAAAGATAACCCGATCTAAACTTTTTTTTACAATATCAATGTGACACTATTTCTATTTTCATTTAAGCTCATCTTGTTCTCGATTGGTTTAATCTTCTTCAATGAGATGATCTTGAATTAGAATGTATTACTCGTGAATGCGATCGATCCATTTCATGAACAGAAAATAATGAATATCAAAGTCGAACAATGTCTTATGAATTTTAAAAGCCACTTCTAAGATTAACACGATCTTCAATAACTAATAAAATTGGTCTTCTGTCATCTCAAATTCAACATAGAAAAAAAAGAGCAAGTTAAATTATCATGTTTGACTTTAAACAAAAATCAGAATTTTATTTATTCGAGCTTTCGATAAGATACACTTATCATCATCAGGAACAATAAAAAAAAAGAACAAATTCCAATACATTTATAAGAAAAACGAAAAGAAAAACGATATTAAGATAATTGATGGACGTTGATTGATCTAAATTAATCTATATAATAATTCGAATTATTATGTTCGGAGAACTATTTTGGGGTCCCCAAAATAGCCCTAAGGCGTTTAGTTCTATGCAAAAATATTCAATTGGAATTTTGTATCATTTAAGGATCTTTCTTTCATTTGATGTGTGAATAGGCTTTCTTTTATGACCCTTCTACGCCAATTTGATTCGAGAGATAAGGTTTCAGTTTGTTCGAAATTGAATGCGTGCTTTTCAATGTTTACATGTCTAGCAACATTAGAGGACTTAGTAAACTTTTTTATATCGGTTTGATGTTCTTTCATTCTCGTTTCCTTCTCTCTGTTTGTTTCACCAATGTAGCATTTGTCACAATTTTGACAAGAAATTGTATACACCGATTTTTTATTTTTCCTACTTTGATCTACTCCTTTTTGGATCGGCAGGAAAACACTTTTTAGTGTGCCTGCCTTTTTGAGGCATACGTTAATTTTAACCAATGGTAGTAACTTTTTACATGTTTGTGTGATACGGCCACCGAGTATCTTTGATTCCTGTCCATAATAAGTGATTAAGAAATACACTGCTTCTTTATTGGATACTTTAGGCGATTCTTTTGGTTTACCAAGTAGTAATATTTTACCAATTACCTCTCCTTCACGTATTCCTTTTCTAATCAGATGAGGTGGGTATCCATTTCCAGCTAGGGTTTCTTTCATTAGTTTAATTTCTTTATCTTTGAGTTCGTTTGTTGAACATATTAACTGAATTCGTATTACTAATGTCCTTAACAAACTTAGTTTTGTATTCTCTACATCGATTACTCTCGTATAGTAAGTAGAGGTTTGTGTTAGTCGGTTTTCGATATAGGCTAGTACTGTATATGTTATTAGAGTTATTTCGTTGAATTAATACATCTAGGAATGCTAATTTTTCGTTTTGTTCGATTTCCTTTGTGAAATGAATATTAGAGTGCCATTTGTTAATTCATATTTGAAAATCATCTATATTTTGTGAGTTTTTGAAAATAGAGGATATGTCGTCTACATATCTGATCCACATTATAGGCTTATTGGTTGAGAATCTATTTACTTTCTCTTCTACTTTTGACATAAACAGGTCTGCCAGAATTGGGCCTACTCTGAAAAAAAATGGAGTTTTGCAGAACCTTTTTCGGGGTTCTTCTGTTGAGTACTAGACAGAACACCAAAAGATGGTTGTGCCTGAAAAACGATTCCGTAAGGAATTTACAAAACCATTTCCGATTGTTTTATTAAGAATGGTTCTGTGCTGCGCATTAAGTGTTACATCATTTAAATGGTTTATCACTAAAGCTTTCGTACGAGGGAACATTCCCAAGTGATACTCATCATTTCGGCTCATATTTTGCTCATAAGTAGGATCCAGTGAGACTAGAAAATCCCTAAAAGATTTCCTCCCATTAGGCCTTTCTTTCAAAGTTATGACCGTTTTATCGAATTTTCAACCTTGGACAAGCAGTTTATAGAAAAATTGAATGAAAGAATTTCGGGCTGAAATTTTGCTTAACAATAGGTTTCATCAGTCTTACGTAGAAGGTTGTAAAGCTTTCAGTTAAAACAGATTCTTGCTGCTCGAGATTTTGCATATTAAAAAGAAGTGAATATTACGACAACTTTTCAAAAATGACCCTTGTCTTCAATATGCAAAATCTTGAGCAGCAAGAATCTGTTTTAACTGAAAGCTTTACAATCTTGTAAGACTGATGAAACCTATTGTTAAGCAAAATTTCAGCCCGAAATTCTTTCATTCAATTTTTCTATAAACTGCTTGTCCAGGGTTGAAAATTCGATAAAACGGTCATAACTTTGAAAGAAAGGCCTAATGGGAGGAAATCTTTCAGGGGTTATCTAGTCTCACTGGATCCTACTTATGAGAAAATATGAGCCCGCATGATGAGTATCACTTGGGAATGTTGCGTCGTTAGTTTGTACCGATAGGTTCTGTACTTTAGATGCCATTTAATGCCAAAGTACGATGTCATCTATACCCTTATTCTATGCACTTACAACTATATCCTTATTCTGTACCCTTATAACTATACCTTTATTCTACATCCTTGTTCTGTACCCTTATTCTATGCCTTTATTCTATATCCTTATATCTACATCCTAATATCTACATCCTTATATCTATATCCTTAAAATTATATCCATATTTTGATCTCCTTACAACTATACCCTTATATATAGATAGAGATAAAAATATCTATATACTCTCGAAAAAAAAATTCTATAATATAACTGAAATAATTAAACTATATTTTTTCGTAACCTAGATATATACAAAAAATTCTTTATTAATTCTATTCAACGAAAATAACATGTCATCTACACAATCAAATCAACAACAAGTAAGAAGAAAATAAAAATTAGCCAAATAAAAACAGTTGTATTTTATGTTTCGTTTCTTTTAGAATAATGATAATAATAATAATAATAATAATGTTTATGGACAATTAATTCTTTTATTAGATGTCAATCAAAATGGACGAGTAAAATAGAAAAAACAAATATCTATTCTCATAACAATAATATTTTATCTAATTTAGTTAGTTTTGCCATTTTCCCGACGATTGATTCTTATTGATCGTCCATTTGAAAATGTTTCTGAAAAGTAAGTTGCGTTTATCATATAACATTTTTTTTTGTTATTTAATATTATAAAATGTCTTCACTGTTTATAGTGACAACGACGAACAAAATGAAACATCTGTTGATGATTATAATACAGAATCTGAATTCTCGTCATCATTATCAGAAAATTATTTTCTAACTGATGATGAGAATAATGATGGTAATAGTGAAGACAATGGATCGTTTGTATCAATATCTTTACCACCAACACCATTTCCTTATGATCCATATGATTCATATGATTGTGAGTGTTAAATATTTATGAAAAACTATTCTTTTTCTTTTTTTTCTTATGTTGTAAACCGTTTCCTTTTGTTATTGTTATATATACATATATATTTTTGTTTATGAATAAAAAAAAAAAAAGAAACGAATGATGCATATGTAACGAAATAGCAACAATCATTTAGAAAAGATAGTTGTGGACAAAGCAAACTGTTTAGATACAAATTGTTATTCTTTATAGAACTATGCCATTGATAAAGTATAAATCGAATGTAAGAGAAAATGTCTAGGCCTTGACTATTACAATCCAGTGTACTAATAGATAGAACTTTTTGCGAATCTATTTACAAAAAGAAAAATCATAAAAGTTGGCGTATTCTCGAAAACATTTTGACAACTTTTGAAAAGCACATTCAACAAAAACATTGAATGAAGCAATAATGTAGAGTTCATTGAATTCCATCTAGTAGTGAAGTACTATTCCGAGAGTCATCTACATTAAAAAGGTTTCCGTTAGAAACTACAATTTCAAATTCGAAACATAACAGTAAAAGTTTAAAAATCAGATTTGAGTCAAATGAGAACCGTTAGAAAACATAACTTCAAAATTGAAAGAATACTTTTAAATGGTCAAAGGTGAAATTACATTCACAACGAAACTGTTAGAAATATGGATTTCAAGTTTGGAATAAAATCGTTGAATATTTAAAGGTTTAATTATTTTTGAAACTTTTGTTATAACGATTAACAGTACAAAGGTGAACTTAAACTGATAAGACGATCGTTAAAAAAACGGTGGAAAAAAAACCATTAAAAGTTGAAGTTTAAGTTTTGGAATATAACCGTAAAATTTTTAACAGTAAAATTATTTTGCGAACGTTACCGTTAGTAAAGCAAATATCCAAATTGAAATTTGATGGAACCGCTTCATTGAAGCTCGAAGTTTCATATTACTCATATACACTAACACTTCAACGATCAGAACAAGTTTTTAGTTGTATTCAGAAAAAAATAAAGAAAGTTTGAGAATTTTTTAACAAAAATTTTGTAACATTTATTTTTAAAATTTCAGAGAGAATTCTGAAGTATCAATAAATTAGTTGAAAGATTCAGTGTATGTTTCGTTTGGAGTAGATCTGATAAAAGTATTTAAAACTTGTTGAATTATTCTTGAGCAATTGTGAAAAGAAATCTAAAAAATTTTCGAATAATCTATTCAAAAAAACATGAAAAGAATTCTAAAAGATATTAACCACATTATTCCGAAATACTATTGAAAAAAATTCGCCAACATCTTTGAAACAAAACTTTGGAAAATTTGCAGCTGATTTTCTACAACATTTTTCAAAAATGGTTGTTGTAATATGTTCGAAATAAACTTTGAAAGAAATTTCTGAAAAATGTTTGAATTTTTTTTAAATCTTAGGGAAGTATAATGAAAAGAATATTAAAATATTTTAGAGAAAAATATTTGAAAATAAGTTTCGTTAAATTCTCAAAACATAACAGGAATTTCTTTTGTAGCGAATTTACGGAATGTGATGAAAGCATTTTTGAAAGTTTTTTTTTGAAAGAAAGTGCCTTTGTGTTGAAGAAGTGATGATGAAAATCAAGGTTACGTATTATGTGCCAGTATATTTATGTATGTAGAAGAGACAGTAGGAGAAAATATCATTTGAAGTCTGTTGTACTAGTACTGCCCTCTATCGTGCTTATGTCGTTGTCCGCTGTATGACCTTTTCATCGTCGACGGTACGACACATTCTGTCGTCTATTGTAAATTGTTGTCGTAGTTTGTTGTCGTGATTTGTTGTCGTAGTTTATTGTCGTAATTTATTGTCGTTTGTCATAGTTTTTTGCCGTCTATGGTAGTTTAGTGTCGTAGTTTATTGTCATCTGTGGCATCTTGCGGACTATATAAAGGCTCGCTTTCGCTGTGATGAATTCATTCCGTCTATTAACACAACAGCAGTAACATCGATTCTTCTACTGGAATCTTCACTGACAAGAACAACTGCATCGAATTTCCAATCATCTTTATCAAGTTTGTTGATATTTTCTTTATGGTTTTCTCTCAGCCTTTTGTCCGTAGAATTCCAAACTATCTTTGTCAGACTTCAGTTCTGTATGATTTTTCTCTTGAGATTGAGTTTCGCTTAAAAAAAATTCACGTGCATCATTGTTTAGGTTACTACAAAATTACAATGATGATACTACTAGAAGAACCGAAGATCAGCATGAGCGCCAAGCAGATTATAAAAGATATCAATGGTTAAACTGACGAGAATGAAAAAACGAATTCTATCGCGAATTCGAAGAAGAACTATGGAAAGAACTTCAAAAAGTGGAACAATAGGAAGAAGACCTGAAGCGAAAAAAGAAAGTTTGGGAAGATGAATGCTTAAAATTCTTTCTAGCCGCCGATGAATACGAACAAAATTATGTTGAACATGTACCACAAAATACACCTGTCGAAAAGATGGATGTTGAAAAATCATTCCAACAACAAGACGTATCCATGAAACAAATAGGAAATTCGAAACAATATCAACAACATCTATATGTAGGACATCGGAAACTTGTCGAATCATTCAAGCATTTCCATTTAAGTGACTGCGATACTGAATGCTACGAAACAAACTCGAAGTAAAATTGATATTTTTTTTCAAGATGTAAGAGTAAGAAGAAAAAAGAACCATGAAATATTAATTCATTGTCATCTCTGTGTTTTTTTTCGTTTTTTCTCATTGATATATGTATATGTTCATAGTTATTCTTTGATGAACTTTTTTTTGTACTTTATTCTTTGGAAATCAGTTATTGACTGACACAATTTTTTTTTCTTCTATTCTAGATAGAAATATTGAACATGAATATGAATACAGAAACCATTCTGAAAACTCCGAGTCAAGATGCTCAAGGTGGATGGTATGACTTGTTGTCACCAACACAAGTGTGTACTGGAAAAGAGAAAAATCTCGGAAGTATGAATATACACTTGAATAATGATTTTATGAGAGAAGACGAAGAAGAAGCAACTATGAATGTTGACGACGATAATTTGTTCAATAATCAATCTGAACAAGTTCCAATTAAATATCACTCAAAAGTATGATCTTCTTTTTATCAAGAATACGTTTCATAGTCATTTTTTATTTTTTTGTCTTGTTTCTGTTTAGTCATTAGAAGAACAAGCTTTATCACAAAGATTAAGTCAATTATCTATGATTTCTCATCACACACCTGAACATCTCATTATGGTCAATAAAGATGATGCGGAAAATATTCCATATTACCTATCAAAAGAAAGTAAATCTTTTCAAGAAATTACCAGCGATTTACCATCATATGAATTGGTTGAAGAATTACGGCAAATGGCCATGGTGATACATCAACTTTTTATGATCGATTTAGAAAAATCACTTTGGACACCTTATTTGAAGTCAGGCACAGACCAACTCCAATTAAATCAAATGGATAATGATAATCTTATACATACACACCTTTGGCCCATTGAAGTGCAAAAACTTGTTAGTAAACAATCACCTGATAATACCGATACGGCTGCATGTTTAACTTACGTCACACAACATCTTGATGAATTAGATGATAAAATGAAACAATATCAAACTAAATATAATATGAAGAAAAACCAATACTTCAATTATGTACCAAAAATACAAATATTTGTTCACCAACAACTTGAATCTGCTCGATTGGCAACAGAACAACAAATTGCCATTGTTCACTACAATTTCAATGATCATCTCTTCGAATTAAAATTTATGACATATAATCCAACTCCACAACAGATAAAAATAATTTTCTTTAAAATTTTTAATTTACTTACATATATCGTTTTTTTTTTGTTTTAGAAACAAAGTGTGCAAACATTAAATCATGCAAAATATCAAGAACAAATGACTACACATGAATTGAATTTATTGAAATATCGTATTTCGATTAGGGGTGGCACTTTACTTTTACTTTTTGAAAAAAGTAAATAAGTAAAGTAAATAAAATATTTACTATTTACTTTAGTAAAGTAAATAAAGTATTTACTATTTACTTTAGTAAAGTAAATAAATTATTTACTATTTACTTTTTGTAAAGTAAATAAAGTATTTACTATTTACTTTAGTAAAGTAAATAAAATATTTACTATTTACTTTTGTAAAGTAAATATATTTACTAGTAAATAAATTTTTTATTTAGTTTATCCTTCGCATCCATACGAAAAAATAAAATATTTCTCATCAATTCTAACTATTTCGAATAAGCTGCGATCATGTTGCACGAAACCATTAAATCTTCTACTTATAAGTCTGTTTTTCGTCGAAACACTCAAAAGATGTATATTTTGCGATGATTGCAGACTTTTATTTCTATTCTTATGGTCAAATGATTTATGACTCGAAAGACAGGTACCTTTCTTATGATCACGTTCGATCTTCTGCAATCACAGAATTCGTTCATCTATTCATTGAACATGTCACTCAGTTTCACATGAAGGTTTACTGTTCAGTTTTCTTTTTTCTTCTATTTCCATTTCGACCTTAATAGTTTTGTGAAGATTTTAAGCGTTCGCCTTGTGTTTGTTTCATTTCATATTTACACCATAGACAAGTACTTTAATTATATTAACCAAAGTAGAGAATAGATGAACGAATTCTGTGATTGCAGAAGATCGAACGTGATCATAAGAAAGGTACCTGTCTNTATTTAGTTTGATATTGTTTCATTTTATCATCTAATTCATCAAGATGTTGTGGTTCTTTAGTGTTTCTTTCCCAAGGAATCAGGACGCATTTAATACGTGCCGTTCGGCGTTTCTTAGCAATTTTTATATATAATGATGTGTTTATAAACTTCTGCTTATCTTGTTTACGTGAGACTATTATGTGTTACCATTCCTAGGAGCAGGAATGCGGCATCCATAGTAAAGAAGCATGCATCTGCATCATGTCTACAGGGAGGAAAATTATTGTTGTAGCATTCATTTATACTATCCAACTTTAATGACACAATCTGCGCAGTCATTTGGGGAACTTAAATACTTATATTCTCGTGCAACTATAAACGTTAAACAGTTTTACTTTTAAAGTATTGTACAGTTGTGTTGGCATTTTTCAAAATATGATT